CGCTTATTGTAATACTACTGGATAGAGCATTAAATGGCGCTTTTGCGAAGTAAAACTTCCCTTGGAAAATCTCGGAAGTTTTCTCAAAAAAAGTTGAAGTTTAAAGAAAATTCTCGAATTTTGCGTGTTTTTTACATCGACCCAGAAATGACGCCGCCTTTTTCGTCGTTTCTCAACAACCATTTGAGGTGCAGATACTGTTTTGGTAGCATTATATAGAGATTGAAACAGCCGATTCACTCAGTAGAAAATAGTTAGGAAACAGTGACAGTTTTTTTCACAAACACAGTTGAAATTTGAGTATCACACTCTAGAGTTAGACGTTGTGGAGCTAATTTCGTAAAGGTGCTTCAGCTTCTTTTCGCTCTCTTCCATTATATCGTTAAACTGTTTTGTGAACGATTGGAAAAGGTTCAACTTATTTTGATGAAAATCCTTGATTGCCCCAATCAAGGACTGCTTCTGCTTGCAATGCTTATGTCGGATTCGGAGATGAAAATCGGGCAGGTTGTTGATGCAGAGAGCAACTGAGTGGCGGCAAAAGGTGCCTAAAATCTCGAAACTATGGTACTTGAAGGGACGGAAAATGCGGGACAAGAAATAAGATTCTTGGTGATGTGTCGGTGACGGTGGGCGGTGGTAAAGCTGCGCGCCCGGTCACGGTCCTGGTCTTGCAGGAGCTGCAGGCGGCCAACGAAACGCTGCGCACGCTGCAGTCGCAACTGGAATTAGTGCCCTCGCCATCCAGCAGCACCATCAAGGTGCTGCTGGACACCAAGGACGCGAGAATCGCGACTCTGGAGCGCGAGGTGCGCCTTTTGGAGCACGAAATCGACAGGCTGGCGCCACCCTCTTTGATGGAGCCCCCCCGCCGACAAGTAAGTTTTTTGTTGAACGATGTGCAGATCGGCAAGGATGGGTCCGTGATTGGTAGACTGTAACTAGCTGTAAAGACACTCCGGTCGCTCGCTGGAGAGCTCAGTTTTACCACCTCACTGTCTGTCGGCACGCATGTGTCCCGCATGGTCAGTGCATGCATCTGCTCGTGTGTGCTGCAGCTCGACGAGTTCCGGGTGGAGATTCAGCGCAGGGATCAGGAGATCCTCGCGATGGGCGCCAAAATGAAGACGCTGGAGGAGCAGCACCAGGACTACCAGCGCCACATCGCCGTGCTCAAGGAGTCGCTCTGCGCCAAGGAGGAGCACTACAACATGCTGCAGGCGGACGTCGAAGAGATGCGCGCCCGCCTCGACGAGAAGAACCGCATGATCGAGAAGAAGCAGCTGCAGCACCAGCAGGACCGGGCGCGCGCGGGCGCCGAAATTTCCGAGATGAGGGAGCACATGGACATTAAGGACCGCAAAATCAACGTGTTGCAACGAAAGGTAACAAACAGTTCCACCATCTCACTTTCCCCTGCTACTTTTCGCACGCTTGCCAGAGACGCGCAGAAAGTTTCGATGAAACCACACGTTCTTTTGCATTAACGGCCAAAATTCCAAAATTTTCTGCGCCTCTGTCCGTTTGCATCAGTTAGAGGGACCCTTGGGAGCATGCGGATTATTTCCTGCCTATAAACACTTTTCCGGGTTTCCGCCGGTTGCCAATTTGCCCGAAATTTGAAAGAGCAACGCGGCCAATTTATTGTTTTGATTCCCGCTGAATTTTTGCATATTCCAAAGTTTCATAGTTACAGGGGCGGATCCAGCTTTAAAGTCAGGGGGGGGAGGTTGTTTATGAAATTAGAAAAATGATCGTCGTTTTGTGCAAGGGTGGCGCAAGATTATTGCAAAATTTCATGTTTTCCCTCCCGTTTTTGCTCATTTCTCGGAGGCAATGTTGGCAGTTTTCTCAAAAAATGCTTGAATTCAAGAAGTTTTAGATTTGCGTGGTTTTTTTTT